AACCCCATCGGGCCTCTCTAGGGTGGTACGGCGGGCCTGCGCGTCTTGTGGCTGGCCAACCACTGGACAAGAATCTCGCCCACAGACCCGTCGGGCTGTGGTGACGATCGGGCTGCCAACCCGCCTGTCTACCCAGGACGCCACGAGGGCCCAACGGCACAGGTACAGTGGGGACGTAAGCGGCAACGCGGTTGATCACTAGCCAAACGAGGTCGATGTGATGAAAAATGGAAGCGGCACTGAATTTGGCAAGGGGGCTCGGCGTATAGATCTGGGCAGAGTGGGGAGGGCGGCCTCGGAGTCACTCTGGGCCATTGAGGGTCCGAACGACGGCATAGCTGGGGATCTGGACGAGGAGCCTGATTTTGGAGATGGGGTGGGGGATCGATGATTTCTTGTTACACGGACCGATGGCCAAAAATCTGGGAGCCAAGCGCCGTGCGCGGGACGAGGCCATGAAGGCAAAAACCGGTGATAGTCCTGAACCCGGGCATGGGGGAAAAGGAGGAAACAATGGATGATGACCACACAACATGCCGTCTCCACTCAAAAAACACCATCAACACCATCAGCCTCGAAGACATCCTTCTCCGGGAAGATAGCCGCGGGCACGACCGTGGTGCGATGCATGGCCGACCGAACGGCAAGTTCTCAAAGTCTGGCTGTCATAGGGAGCCTCACGACGCCGTCGCCAAGCTCTGATGACCCCCTGAGAAATACAATTGGGCGCGCTCGCGGAGCTCAGCTGGGCTTTCCGCGTGGCCTGGAACCCTCGCTTCGTCGATGGTAAAGCTTCACCACATGCGAGAACAACAAGAAAGAAGGAAGGTTTAAACACGCGATGGATTTGCAAAGCCCGAAGCCTACACATTTGACGTCGCAAGCCCTGGACAACATATGATGGAAGGGGCCATCCGAGAGATTTCGCAATCCTCACGCCTGAGACTGAGAGCGCTCCCGATACGCTTGCCTGCAATCTCGAAGGCGAGATCATGATGGCAATTGCCAAACTGAACCACCAACTTTGTACATCTATCAATCGTGAGCCCTCCAAGCGGCATGAGGATCAGCCTTTTCATGTGAATGTGTGGGTTTCTGCTGCACCAACAAGCCTCCAAACCAGCAACAGATCTGTAATAGTCTTGGAGATACACGGCGTGGCGATCGCCGTGTCGCCGGCAACCACCTCAGCCTCCCGGGAATTTCCGCCCTCATATATCTGAGGCTGCGGTCCATGCCTATACAGCATATGGCGCCTGAGACAGGGAAGCCTTGCTTGACACCGCCAGAGGCCAAGAACGAGCACCATGACATTCGCAAACACTAGCGCCGATCTTGACATTGTGGTACAGGGCTTGGACCCACCTCGGAATGTTAGGCGGGAGGCCCATACAAACAACAACGCAGAAACTCATAAATTGAAACAGGCTAGGGACAAAAAATGCATAACCGTCCCAGTACAGCATTTCCAGAAATTGATGGATTGTTTGGGCGAGCCAGGTACCAATCCGGCTTTCCAAGTCAATGATACTTTGAGGCATGTATGTTCCAGAGTAAAACTAGTGGTTAGCTATCCCAATTCGGGCCGCGATCGGGGAAGGCGGCTTGCTGAGGGCGAGCCAGACGGGTTTGTTGTCCGAGCTGGCGAGCGTCATAGGTCTTCTGATTGCAGGCTTGCGAGCCATCTGAACGGGTGGTATCCTCTGGATCGCTGCCCTTGATGAGGAACATTGGCATGCCCCGATTGAAAGCCAAAGGCAAGTCGCCCTGCTTGAGCAGGGCGGAACAAAGGCCGTGCCGGGGAGCAACAAGGGAGGGAGGCGCTGGTTTGCCCGATCTCTCCTTCCTTTCCTCCTCCTCTCCTCTCCTCTCCTTATTATCCTTCTCCTCCTACCCCCCCAGAGCCCGCCAAGCCACCCAAGAATTCTTGCAGAGGCTACTGATACATGAAGCCTTCTAGAATAAACCCATTTCAAAAACTAGGCACATGTGCATGATCAGCCCTACATCTCGCCAGCTTATCGGCCCCTCAGCGCCCCAGCTCAGAAGACCCAGAACGAAGCAGCGCATCAGGCGTCGTCGCCAAAAGCTGCTTCTCGACTTGAAAAGCACCTGGCATCTGCACTTGAGAGCGCGAGGTTCGAAGACCGTCCGAACCCATGCCATACCTTAGTCCAAAAGCGCCCCCGGCGAGTGGTGGCTTTGAACTCCCACCACCCCTCGAGCCTCGCGAGGACAGGGGCTCCTGCATCCCAATCGCCCCAGGGCGCCACAGCAAAAGCGCACCCAGTGGTGTCAGCAGCCCCAGGCCCCCGACGTTGTGCCGCTCTCCCCATTGAGGAGGAGGAGGAGGAGGAGGAGGAGGAGGAGGAGGAGGAGGAGGAGGGAGGAGGAGGAGGAGGAGGAGGAGTAGGAGGAGGAGGGGGAGGCGGAGGCCTGGAGTCCTTCCCCGCGGGACTGGCCGGCTATTTGCCCCGAGTCGACTCGTGACCGCCCTGCA